AAAAAATTATTTTCTGTTTTTTAATTTCCTTTTAAATTAGGTGTCAATTTCTAATTAGGTTGAGACACACTTTGGACACCAAAGATAAAATAGGTGATCTCCATTGTTTAGCAGGGATAGGTTAGTAAGAATAGGAGGGGTGGTCCAAAAGAGTACATTGATGCCACGGGCCTTGATTGATTCTACGTAAAAGAAAGAAGAAAACAAAGGTAGTAATATATAGTAAATTAGAGAATAGAGTAGAAAGTGAGACTCTACGATTTATTTCTCATTAGGGTAAAGGGATCCTTACCTTAGATCCCTTTTTCTTTTGAATGATTGCATCGTATCTACGGCACACTGCAAACAATTCAGAGTACTTCATCTTCTCTTTCTTTTCCCTCTTTAAGTAATTTAATTTTTTTTTAATTAGTTTTATGTTAGAAAGTTAATGCTTTCGTAGAGGAGAGATCTATTGACTCCAATATCTTAGCTATCAATTCTAGGGAAATTCAATGGTTTAAATTAAATGATATATTTAAATCATTGGATTTCCCTATAATTGATAGCTAAGATGTCACCCGGTTTAATATATACATATATATGTGATTTTTATTTGAATATGGCTAAAGTATAATTTATTCATATACATCCCAAATATTATGTACTGAACTCTGTTTATTTTTGGGTTTGTTGATTTTTTTTACCCACATCAACTTCACAACATTGTTTTCCTTTATTTTTAAAGGGAAAATGGATAAATTTTCTTAAAATTTTATGTTTTTTTGTTTCAAATAATTAACGTGAATTATTTTTTCTTTAAAATTTTATGTTTTCTTTATGTTTTTTCTTTATCAGTTGGTGATATTTGTCCATGTATAAATATGTTATTAAATTACTAATATGTTAACAAAGATTGCAATCAGATTCACAATAGTACATGCTAGTCAGCTTTAATATCCGGAGGAAATCCCATCAAAATATAAAATTGGTTGAGAATAAAATGATAAGTAAAATTCATAGTTAAAAGTATTTAACGCAATAACATATGGGGATGGATTCACTTACTCCAAGAGTAAGTGGAAAAAACTTACTTTTCGTCTTAGTCATCTAATCTTGGAAAATTCAATGGTTTAGATGTACTCACCAATTCAAACAATTAGATTTCCAAAAAATTAATGATTATGATAAGAATAAATCTTTTTCACTTACTCTTGGAGTAAGTTGATATCTTCCCATAATTTATATATATATATATATATATATGAAATATCATATTCAGAAATTAGTTTGAACCTAATCAATTTTCAATGTGTGAAAAAACATATGACAGGAATCAACTTCTGATATCATATTTGTGAAACTGACTACCTATCGACAATGAAGGATCTTATTAGTTCCTTCATTTAATTCAATGACAAAAGATAACCTTTTATAGTGTCCCTTCTAAGGTGATTGCTTGAAATTCTAAGCAAACATTATGCTATAAAGAAGAAGCATAAAACATAGTAGCACGACACTATATGCAAAGAATAAGAAAATCTTGGTTGAAAACTGAAATCCCAAAGAGTAATGTAATCTAGCAAATGGGTTGGGTTGAGATCACCTTTTTAGCCTTTTACAAGAAGAGTGTGTTTTCATATGAACACAAATCATCTATGCTAAAATAACTCTATCACTTTATTCTTGGCCAATCAAATATTACCGTATGTAATGATGTTAATTTAAAATTTTAATTTATATTTATTTGATATATATTTGTTAAAATTCTATTGGTGTTAGTAGGTTGTGTGAGATATAAGATCTCAATTTGTTTCCATATATGTCATTACTTCAATGGGTAGAAAATTATGGGGTCCTCATTTTTCTTTCTCTTTTCGTTTTCATTTTCAAAAGCCTATAGTCTATTTTGATAGGCAGTTAGGTTTAAACCCACAGTACAAGTTTTGAATACTATAACACATACTTGACCTTTCTTACATACATATAGGCAATATTATATATTTTTGGAACAAAAATGAATACATTAATATTCTATGAGTTTTATATATTGTCATTGCATTATCTATTATTTATGTTTTATTATTATCATTAACTCTTCAAAAGATAATATAAATAAATGATGGATATTGAATATATATAAATCTTTACGCTGAAGTTCATATTACACTCTATATTTTGTGTGTGGATGAGGATGATAATATAGCATTCAGTGGAGCACATAAACAAGGTTATAATCATGTTAAAAAATACATGTGTAACATTATTTAGGAATGTTTAATATTATAATTATATTATAATAATACATGTCTCCACTTAAGGAAATTGGTAATGGTGACTACACTAGGGCTTGGGGGAATTATTGGTCCTATTATGTATATTGTGCTCTCAATTGTTGGATCGCTTTCATCACTCATCTAGACAACTCTGTCATTTATATATCAAAATTTAATATCATATCTCTATTTTACACATAATTTTTTAAATTATTTGTATACACATGTTGTTTGATATAATACAACAACATGTGCCAAGAAAAGTTGTGCCAAGGCACATGCTAATTTCAAGTCAGATGCCCCAAGAGACACACAACATGCATCAAGGCTAGATGCGCCAAGACATGCAAATGCGCTAGGCCAGACATGCCAAGGCACACACATAAACCAAGCTAGACGCGTCAAAACACACACATGCGCCGAGACATGATGCACTAAGGCCATAATATAATATGCTAAGGCATGCATATGTTCCAGGGGCTAAGGTGACAACATCGGGCCAAGCCTCGGGCTAGGTCAGACACCAAAGGCCAAGTGCGAGCAACATCCAACAACATTCCAGTGCGCCAAAGCCACCTATGCAGTAGATATTTATGAAGCTTGGGTAACATGCTTTTTAGGGATGGCAATATGGGCTTGATCCATCGGGCCAGCCCGTTTTGATCGACATTTTTGGCGGGCCGAGCTAGAGATTTTAGCCCAAAAGCCCATATTCAACCCGATTTGGAAGCTCATTTTTTAGACGGGCCAAGGCGGGTCGGTCCGGGCTAGCCTGGCGGGCTAACATTAATATTGATTTATCATTTTAAGGTTACATGTGATTCCAATAATGTAGTCAATTTAATATTGTTTTCCAACCGAGCATTTTACACATACCGTGTGCAACCAATTTATTATTAATATATAACACATTTATGAGTAAATTACTCATCAATGTAATTTTAATCATATACAATACAAAACGTTTACATATTAGTGTTTAATTTATATCATATATGATATTTTGTTTAACTTAATTACATTTATCACTTTTTTGTTTAAAAATTACATCTTTCATACATGGTTGATCAATGTAAAATATGTTTATAAATTAAGGGTTTTTTGTAAGTGTAGAAAATGGAACGATAATTTGTGTAATTTCCCTAAAACGCATGGAATATCAGTGTAATTTAAAGGTGTTTTTGAAAAGAAAAAGAAAAACGGGTCAGTCTCCTGGCCTGCCAGCCCATCCAAATATGGGTCGGGCTGGCATTTTGAGCCCTTTTAGCAATAAGGGCCGGGCCAAGCTGGCCCATTTTGCCACCCCTAATGCTTTTGTGCTAGGAAGTTAGTTATTTTTCCTTTCATTCTAGAAGATAGTTACTTAAAGTAGCTACTTTTCAAAGTTAAGCTTGTGTATAATTTGTAACCATTTCTTTGTCAATGAAAAATTCTTCTCCAATTACTCACTCTTCTTCTTCCTCGCTTTCTAAGATGGTATTAGAGCAATCCTTAATATGATTCATCTTCTTCCTCGATTTTCTTCAATTCTTCATCTGAATTTCTCAAATTCATCTTCTAAAAATTATTTTGTTCCAAGATTACAATGTAAATATCTCTAATCTCTATTTTCTTCATTATAATCAAAATCATGCACTAGTCTTTGTTTCTCCTCTTCTAAATGGCAAAAACTATCACTCTTGGTTAAGATCTGCGAAATTAGCAGTTCAATCTAAAAACAAATTGATGTTTATACATCAAACTATGCCACAACCACCTCTGGTTCATCCTGTTCATGGAAAATGGATTAAGTGTCCTACTATGGTTATCTCTTGGTTGCAGCATTCTGTTGATGAAACAATTGTGAAATTCATCCTATGGATTGATGATGCGACAAAAGTATGGAAATATCTTTGTGATAGGTTCTCTCAAGGTGATGTTTTTTACATAGTTGAGCTTCAAGAATAATTTTATAGAATGAATAACGTAATCAATCCATTTGTGATTATTTTACTCACTTGAAGATTTTATTGGAGGAAATTGAAAATTTTAGGCACATAGGTTACTACAAGTGTGTTATACCTTGCCCTTGTGGGATAGTTGATCTAGTGAAGAGATACAAGGAATAAAATTATGTGCTTCATTTCCTTAATAGTTTAAGTGATCAATATTCTCAAGTTTAGTGCCAAATCATGATGATAGAGCTTATTCCCTCCACAAGTAAGGTGTTTTGAATGTTGATCCAACAAGAGAGATAATTAAATGCTCGAATCCTCTTCGGCTTAGGTAATGATCTAAGGGCCTTGGTAGTTCAATCCCAAGACAATTCTCGGTACAAAAGTAATTAGAATTATTGTAGAAATAGAGGCAGATGCAATAATTCCTATGGAGGAAGAGGGAAAATGTCCTATAATAGTAAAAGAAAAGGAGATACTAGTAGATTCTGCACCTACTGTGAGATAAATAATATATTATAGACACTTGTTTTCTGAAACATGGCTATCTACCTAGATACCATTATAACAAATCTGCCAAAATGGCTAATAATGCAAGTGCTTTTCCTATGGAGATTGAGTATAATCAAGCTAAAAACATAGAGAGTGTGACATTACATTACTTGTCTCCAAAGGAAGTAGAACTCGAGATTTTATTGATGATCAGGTGAAGAATATCTAGGAATTATTTGAAAGAAATAAGGGTGACAATAGCAGGGTTGTTGCAAACTCTTCCATTTCTAAAGGAGCACCAATGAACATTAACTTGCCTTCATCCTTAACAAGCAATATGAGTATAGATTTATTAATTGATACTAGAGCTACTGAACATATTACCTATGATTTGAGGAGTTCTAGTACCTCAAAATCTATTTCACAAGTAATATTACCTTCCCTATTGTTAAAATTGTTAAAACTTCCATAAAGGGACTCAATGACCATCAAGAACTATAGGGAAATAGAGTATTTCATCTGCTTCCTAAAGGGATTTAATGACCAATACAACATCATTAAGTCCCAAATTCTACTCATGGAACCATTGCGAACAATGAACAAGGTCTACTCCTTAATCCTCCAATAAGAATGACAACAAGAAGGGACAACCTATGGTAAAGGGAAATCATATATCAATTTGATAAAATTAGGACAAGGATGGAGAGCATATTCTCCAAAAAATATTAGGAGAGGAATTAATGATTTTAATATAAATACAAGAAGGTTTATAACCATTGTTGGAGCAGGACTTCTTGGCAGAGGAAATGTTGGAGGGAACAACAAGAATAAGGTATGCACCTTCTATGAGAGAGATAGGCACACAACAAACATATACTATTTCAAACATGGGTTGGGTTGCCACCTAACTTCAAATTCAAGCCTAGAATTGGCAATAGCTTTGTCAATACTATTGTAACTAAAGAAGAAAAAGAAGAAGCTAGAGACATAACAAACAAAAACAAGGGAAATCATTAAATTGAATAAGATTCAAGAGGAACAAGTCAAGCTGAGCTTCAAGCATGAACATACCATAAACCAGATTGGACATGATCCCTCAACTAATGATAACCTTTCCATCCCATGTACTTCACTTGATAATTACTCTTGGATACTTGACACAAAGGCAACCAAATATGTCACAAATAGCTTATCAAACTTCACATACCACCATTCCATTAAAACTTTTCTAGTTAAATTGCCTAATAATCTCATAATAATTGCCAAACGTTCAGGGAAAATGATAGTTTCTAAGACCCTTACATTGTATAATGTTCTGTATATTCTTGAATTCAAATGTAACTTGATTTCTATTCATAAGTTTGCTTGCTTACTTCAGTGCAAGCTTGTCTTTGATAAGTCTTCTTGTTTTATCTATGATATGACTACCTTGACGATGATTTGTCATTCTGAAGCCTATACTCATCTCTACATTATCACAAGGCATCATAATCCAGCAAAATTTACCTCACAAGTTATAAACTCTTTAGATGAACATGTTGTTCCCCGTTTTGATCTCTCGCATTTTAGATTAGGCCACATTTCTCATTATGTCATGTTCTATATGTAAAGTTTGATTCCAATTAAGATTTGTGATTTTTGTCACCTTGTCAAGCAATCCAAGTTACCCTTTCTAAATAGTAATTTTTATACTAACCATGTTTTTGAACTTGTCTATATGGATATATGGGCTCCTCTTGGAGTCACCTCTATGCATGGATACAAATGCTTCTTGACTGTGATTGATGATTTTATAAGACATACTTGGATTTTTCTTATGCTCTCTAGAGCTAAAACCATAAACCTTGTTCATAACTTCATTCAGTTAGCTTTAGTTCAATACAATCATAAGATAAAAATGATTAGAATTGATAATTGGGTTGAGTTTATAATGCCAAAACTCTATCATGAACAAGACATATTGCATTAAACATCTTGTGTGGAAACTCCACAACAAAACTCTGTTGTGGAAGGAAAACATAGATATATTTTGAATGTGGCGAGATCTCTTCTCATTCAATCATATATTCCCAAAAGCTTTTGGGGATATGTTGTTAATCATGTTGTCCACCTTATTAATAGATTACCAGGTCATGTCCTTGGGATGCAATCTCCCTTGAAAATCCTTAGTAGAAGACAATCTGGTGCTTGGAAGCTTGTGCTATGCCTCCACCTTAACCCAACAGGTCTAAAATTGGCTTCTCCATGTAGTTGAGACTGTTCACTCCATGTAGTCCCATTTATTATTTGGCTTCTCCCATTCTTACTCATATAATATTTTTCAACTCTCGCGCCTCTCTTTTTTCACTCCCTCTCTCAAAGTCTCAATCCCACTTTTCGTTAATTCTCGCTCTCAATGACACTGTTTTTCTTGTATTGTAGTCTCATATCGTCTACTTTATTATCTCAGAAATAGTTTAAATACTTGTTCGACTACTCCTCATTGCCAATTGGTCAAAATATGCTTTTTAGTTATGAGTGGGCATGTTGGAAAGCAAGTCACACATCGCCTACCTCATTATCTCGGGAATGATTTAAATATTTGTTAGACTACTTTTCTCTCGATTATAACATTGACAGTGATAATAATTTGTAAATTCTATATATATATATACTAACTGATAACTGATAGGGGGATTGATGGTTAATTGGCTAAATTATATATGTTACATTTTTTATCTATTTATATAAATATCAATCCAGAATATTACCTTTATATAATTAAAAAATGTTGTTTGCCATGCTTGTAAAAATGCTAATAATAACCGAACGTGTATATAATTTTTCAGTATCCATCAAATTTTCTGTTTTTTCTCTTCCCTTTGAGCATTAATAAAGAACTCTATTCACTTCAAAATCTCTTGTGAAACGAATAGAGTGGTCATTGAGAGTATGTCAAGTTTGTGAATAAGGGACATGAATGTGGAAAGTAAGAAGTTTAGGAGTTGAGATCAAAATGGACTGAATCCTCTCCATTATGGAGAGGCAAATGAGGTTATTACATTTAGTTTTAAGGACAAAAAGAACTAAATAATAATTTTTATGTAAATCCACTAGGACTTAGAGATTAAGCTATTTAATAATTGGATATTTAATTGTTGAGACTTGAGTTTACATAACCTAACTCATGTTAAATATTAAAACAATATCATATTTTACTATGATATTAAAATACATTGTTTTGTATATCCTAATATCAAAGACACCACAAATCCTTCGAATACATTCGTAACATTGGAAGATGATGAAAATAATTGTGATAACAATGTAAAAAAAATCACATTAATTGCTATAATTATAATAAATTTTTCTAGTTTATACATAATTTTTTTATATTTTTTTTATTTTAGCAGACCTTTAAATAGGCTAACAGGTCAGACCAGACTTTTAAACAGGCCAGACATAGGCTTTGAATTTTTTTTAAACAGACTAACATGCCAGACTCAGGCTTCTATTTGCTATATAGGCTAGGTCTGTTTAAGGTAAAATCTGACTTGACCTGACCTGTTTCCACCCCTAGTTGAAAGACAAAAAAAACTTATAAATTTAGAATTAGAGATTACTAGTATTAGATAAGTTAATTAATTTTAAAAGGCATCGGATCCTTGTAGAGTAACTATAGGTATTAAACTGAATATGATTGATTATTAAGAAGGTGAAATAATTTTAGCTACATTTTCCAAGATTTAGCATCCCAAAAAGCTTTAACTCTATGGTCATCATGAAAGAGAGTAAGATATGAGCATATCGACTATTTAGTATGCACCGGATAATAATGACAAAGATGTGATGGTCGTGGTGATAATAGTAATATTTAGGTCGGAGAAACAAGTAAGCAGTTGGAAGAAGATTCATCCATATTTGATTTATTATTCAGAAAGGGAAAAGTTAAAGAAATAATAAACCGTAATTTTCCATACTTATGTTTCACATTTAGCTAAAATTGTAAGCTTTATTTTTTCCATTGGAAGTAAATTCAAACAGTTTTGGTTTTTCCTTTTACAACCGTTAAGGTTCAATTAGTCACATAACTACGTTACTATGATTATGATTTCACATCACAATCCATTTAAATCTGAGGAATGGTTACGCAAGTTATTTTCCTAAAATGGTTAAAGGGATATTTTGTGTCTACAAAAAGAAGGGAAAACGAAAATGTCTCACAACGTGAATGAAAGTTCATAATCAATTCTTGATGGATGACACTTCTAAATTATGAAGATGGGGATTACCAAGAGTATCTATTCCTCACATCTGCATGGTTGCTCATCCCAACAAGTTTCACTCTCAGAAATTGAACATTTGACCTATTGGTCTTTCTGGAATCTGGTAAAGTTTATACTACTAGACCAACGCTTTGTTTGTGAATACATCATTGTTTAGGAAAATGATATATCCTCCTACTAAATTATCCTACTTGTTCTCATACACACAAGAAAGTGACATATGTCACTTGTAAACCAATCACTAATAAATGAAATATCATTTTGTGACATATCACTTTTTTGTGAGTATAAAGATTAGTAAGATAATATATCATTTCTCTATTCTTTATAATGATACTTGTTAAAGTTGCTTAATTTCAATAGTAAACATCTATATTTCCATTTAAGGTAATGCCAATCAGAGAGGTTTACGAGTTTCCAATATTGGAAATTGATGACTTTTGTTCAGTTTTCTAACCGATTTTTCTCAACAAAAAAAGGGTAATCACTTTGTGTCTCGTCATGCACTAAACGTGGCGAGCATCCAAAAATGTAAATGGAGACTAGAGCCTACTTTTTCCAAAGTAAGCAAAATGTTGATGTTGATCTAAGTTTTTTCTTGTTTAGGTTTACATGTTGAATGAGATGGACTTTGCGGGTGCACTGATTTTTCTTTTATTATTGGGATAACTTTTATGTTCAACGCAAACTCTACACCAACCTTTGATAATTAATAGTTCTTGTCACTATAATTTACTTCTATCTAAGCTCAAGCAACTCTTGTTCATTTTGTATAAGAGGAGAGATTCATCTATGTTTTTTAAACTTACTTCATATCTTAGTCATCAATCATAGAAAAATTCAAAGGTTTAGAATCTACTCACTAATTCAAATAATTGAATTTCTCTAAAATTGATAACTAAGATGTCGAAAAACTTAATCTGGAGTGAATGAATCCCCCTTTCTATAAACGATTTTACACATTTTTGTTGCAAGTTTGAAGAACGAATTGCACTTATAACATGACAATTATAAGGGCCCTATGGCTTAGCACAGGCCAATAGCCCAAAACTAGTAACAAAGAAAGGTAATATTGCAGCCTACACTTAATGTCAATTTCCTTTAGAATTCAGAGCAATGGAGCCTATATACAATGAATTTTGTTCTAGCACATTAACACAGAAAATAATGAAAAAGTTAAAAAATAGGTTTCTTTTGTATTCTTCAATGTAAGAGGGGAAATATAGATTTTTTTTAACTTGGATGAAAAATGTGAGAAAAGAGAAAATGATAAGCAAATGTGCAATAATTTTATCTTTCTTTACTAGATACGAAGGGCATTTTTAATATTACATTCTTCGAAATCTCTTTTATCATTTTTCTTCTAATAGTGTTATCAAAATTGTATAGTATCATCCATTAATCCGAAAATTTGTGAAGGAGACCTCTTATCTATTATATGTATGGTACAATTATTATATCATTCATGCA